CGGGAATATATCAAATAAAAATGAGATGCCATGGTAAAATATTTTGGAAGTTGAACTCTTCGATGTATTGGGAATTGATTTTATGGGACCCTTTCAATCGTCCTTCGGAAATCTGTACATACTTTTAGTTGTGGACTACGCATCCATATTGGACAAGGCCATGGCAACACCTAGAAATTACTCTAAGACCATGCTAAAATTCTTGTACAAAAACATATTCACACGTTTTAGAGTTCCAAGAGTATTATCAGCGATGAGGGCACCCACTTTAAAAATAAATTAATTGGCAAGGCTTTGCAAAGATATGGGGTGCTCCATAAAATTGCCACGGCATACCACCCCCAGACTGGATGATCTTTTCCACACCATAAATTGTTTTAATTGGTGTTGGAAATGCTTGAATGATACTTTATTCTATTGTTAATGAATGATTAAGTATATTTTTGTTGAATGTTGTTTTGTTCACTATTTTAATCTTTTTCCTTGGCACTGTAAGAGTTTTTGAAAGATTGTCTGGTGCCACGACAAAACATTCCTAGTCCTTGTAAGAGCTTTTGAAATATTGCCATTTTCTAGGAGTTGATACCTAATATTTGAAAGAGTTAGGTTATATCTATGTGAACAAGGGAACTAATCTGGGATGGTGAGTTTCTAATTCACCTTAGAGATAAGGAGAGGGTTTCATTCGACTAAGAAGGGTAAATGCTTGAGTAGATATGCTAGAGCTACAGTTTACTCTGAGGGGTATTGTTGCAGCAACAATTTGACAAGCCAAGGGTTGTAGTTCACGCTGGGTAGTATTGTCGTAGTAAAATTTCTAGGAACACTCTAGTAAATCCTGTCGAGCAGCATAGGAATAACATACTAAATCATCCTTGACATAGAATAATTTCTTAACATAGCAAATCTAACCCTGGGTGCTCCGTTAGAGGTCTGATTGTGTAAGGTTTTCATAATATATTAAACTAATCAGTTTTTTTTTGCCTTGACAACTTTTATTTTTTTTTTACCTTCGCATATTTTTCTCGCCACGACAAAACTTTTCTACTCACTTCACTTTACAAAATTTTCTTTCCTCGGCCTTACCTTTTCCATCTGTTTGCTACTACTTGTTTTTCCTTTGTGAATACCATTAGACAAGAATGTTAGGACTAGTTAGTGACACCTAGTTTTAGCTATAGCAATCATAAAAAATTCCCACCAATCCCGGTGAAGGCGATAACTCACTTACTACTATGTTCTTGCTTCGATTGTGTATAATTCCACAGAATTACATGCCACTACACAAGATTAGAAAACACTGTTGTCTTCTGCTTTTGCTTCAACATATGCCGTTGAAGAGTACTATCATGCCTCCCAGGCCAGTTTCGGTTTCTATCCCCCATTTCACGCCCCATATTTTACCTCTGCTTCTGCTTCTTTGGTTATCTCTTTTAATCCAATTTTCTCTTATGCTTAAAATTTTTAAGTACGAATTAACACAAAATTTTATATTAGATGAATAAATTTATAAAATTCTATAAGATAATAAATTTATAAAATTTTAGAAAATAAAACTAGAATTTTATTTGAAAATATAAAAAATAAATAAATCCAAATTAAGAAACAGCTTACTTGCCCTCAAAAGTCCACTTTATTCTCATACGAACCATGTCTGTGTACACCGTAGAAATGTCTCGAAAATCAATGCCTAATTAAGTAGTGGTACAATGATTTGGATAATCAAAGTGTACGTGTACATAAAGATTTGGACTTACAAATACCAATGTATAATACGTATTTCTCACAAGATTATTGAGATAAAAGGATCACGTAATGTTGAACTCAAATTTGTTCTTCATTATAGCTTTACCTATTTTGTTTGTCTTCTTTTAAAAAGGTCAATAAACTTCGCTGAGTGGTTTAATTAGTAGTTGAGTTTTATTTGGTAAACCAGATTTTGTACAAATCCTATGGATTTAATTTCCCATTTGCTCCCTATTTTTTCCTTTCAATTTAACTTTTTTCAACCTATTTAATATTTGTCATAAATTTGGAAGCACATGCTTAATGGGAAAAAAAATCCAATTTTGATAATGAATATATATTATTAATAAATATTGGTATTTTTTTAATCAGCAAATTTAATTTTAAATTTGGATTAAATATTATTAGGAGAAACTATCATAGTTTTATTGAAATTTTAAAACAAAGTGTAATTCCAATTTCAAAATCCATTTTTTGAAGATGTAAAAATTAGCAGCTAAAACTGACAAAGAGTGCATATTCAACCATGTGAAATTCATAGTATAAAAAGAATATATTAAAGTATTCTACGCGTCTTTGCACCATAGGATTACAAGTAGATTATAGATTAACCAGTGGGTAATTTAGTCAACATCTACATTTAATTGTTAATAATAATAATAATTTGAATATTATTCGATATAAATCTTAAAATCCATAACATATAAACTTATATCCTCTTAAATAAAATATTTTTTTAGTATAAATGTGTATTGTAAGAAAATTCATAAAACAAAAACAAGAAAAAAGTTATTAATAAGAACATGAATTATGTTTTTTTAAGATTATTAATCCATATTGAATTAATAAAAAAAACTAATTCACTTGAAAAGTATGAATCACTAGAAATATGAAAATTGTGATCATACAGTGAAGTCCTTGAAATTGCCAGCTATCTTTCCATGGAATTTCATTGCCCATGTTCATCATCTTTTTGACTTTTTCAGTATCTAAAAGCCCAAATGGATGGTTTCCTTTGAATTTCGCGAACCAAAATTACACTAGTTTTTTTTAATTAATCACTTGTATCCGATTTATTGATCGATTAATCTAGATCGGGTACTGCAGAAGTGAGAGTGACCCTCTCAACCCAGTTTACTCCATTTGAAAGCGTCAAAATTCGAACTCCTGACATTACTTAAAATACCTAATGTCTCATCCCACAAGGCCAATTAATTATTGGTACACTCGCTTTTAAATCTGTTCTCATATACCTAAAAGGGCTGTACAATATACACCAAGTCATACTAAAATACCCAATATGTCAAAGTACAGTCATATCCATTCCCAACCTAATCTAATTCACACGGATGCTTGTGTTTAAAAACTGAGGTAATTCGAACTTATCAAATGATTGAAATGGATATTATTTCTTTTATACATTTTAGATTCGGACATGTATCATCAATTAATTAAAAAATTCTAAATAAATATTTATATTCTAACCCTTATTACTATTAAATAAACAGAGATGACTCACGTATTTAAAATGTGAAAAAGAGTGAGAACTATTTCTATTTTGTTTTTTCAAACAGGTAGATATGGGTGAGAGAGGTGCATAAAATAAATAAAAAAAGAAACAAATTTTAATTTGGGATTTACCCAATCAAGGCTTTCCTGAGAAGCGCCTTGCAGCCTACGGATCTTGAAGCCTCTTCACGAAGCTCCTCTATTTAAGCTCCCTTTAACCCCTTGGTTCTACTTTCTTAACGGCCTTCCCCTCTTTTCTTTTCATTTTCTTCTGCAAAACCAAAGCTTCACATATCCCATACCTCTCCATAACACTTTTCTTCCTATTATTTATACTTGTTTCTTTCTGGGTTTGTTTCTGAATGGAAGAAGCTCTAGTTTTGAACAAGGGAGACGAGCTCATGGATTTGCCCCCTGGTTTTCGTTTTCACCCCACAGATGAAGAGATCATAACTTATTACCTTACTGAGAAGGTGATGAACAGCAGTTTCAGTGCAACCGCTATCGGTGAAGTTGATTTGAACAAGTGTGAACCTTGGGATTTGCACAGTAAGTTATTCTTCTTTGATATTTTCGGCTTAACCGTGCCTTGTGAATTTGAATCTAATCTTGGTTTGATTTTGCAGAGAGAGCGAAGATGGGTGAGAAGCAGTGGTACTTCTTTTGCCAGAGAGACAGGAAGTATCCCACAGGGATGAGAACTAACCGTGCAACCGAAGCCGGTTACTGGAAGGCAACCGGAAAAGACAAGCAGATTTTCAAAGGCAAAGGATGTCTGGTCGGGATGAAGAAGACGCTTGTTTTCTACAAAGGGAGAGCTCCAAAAGGGGAGAAATCAATTGGGTAATGCATGAGTATAGACTTGAAGGCAATTTCTCTTACTATAATCTCCCCAAGGGTGCAAAGGTACATATTTTTTTTTTACCATTTCTTTTTTCAGTTTTTACTGTTTTGTTGGTTGAGGGGTTACTTTCCATGGGGTATCTATCTTTCTTTGCTTTTGTGTGAATGAAGAATCTGAGCTTCTGTTGTGTTCTTTGTCGCAGGATGAATGGGTTGTTTGTAGGGTTTTTGATAAGAATACAGGGGTCAAGAAAGCTAATGTTCAAGATCATCATCAACACCAGCGGTTGAGAATGAATTCTTTCGGCTGCGATGGTCTTATCGATTATGCTTCGCTGCTCCTCTCATGGATCCTACTTACTCCGGTTTCGTCCACGGAGATAACGAATTCAAGTCCGGGATAGCCTCAAACTTCCAAAAAATGAATAATCAGCACACCTTTGTTCAAGTTCCTGCAAATAATCATTTTGGAAGCTCTAGTAGTAATATTCTCAACCCACAAATCCCAGTCTTCTTCCATCAAGGCGCCTCGAATTCGACCTACTTGCACCAAGGGAGGATCGATACCGGAACCGGCGTCGATCAGGCAATGTTATCGAAATCGAACCGGCAGTGCAAGGTCGAAAAGTTCTCGTCGAACCAATCCATGGTCAGTCTCTCACAGGACACCGGGATCAGCACTGAAATCAACAACGAGATTTCATCGGTTGTTTCGAAGAACAATATCGAACTCGGTATCAGCAAATCCTTTGAAGATCTGGGTTGTTTATGGGACTACTAGGTACGATTTTGATGATGATCATCATCAACATGTGTGGCTTGTTAATTTTCCTAGGAAAATGTCATAGTTTGAAACAGTCCTTTTTTCCCCAGTTAGGTAAATTATTTATTAGTTTGGAAAGTTTGGGGGTATACAATTTGTATGTATATATTCATGGTGTTCAAATATTTTTCACTTTTCATTACATTTTCAAAGAGAAAGGTATAGATATAGATTTATGGACCACTGAACTCACTATTTACTGTGTGAATTATTTTATTGAGATATTGTTTTGAGTAAGATATTGGAGTAAGATTTTGAGTAAGATATAGATATAGATTTACGGACCCAAGACATTCCCTTAAGTTGGCTCCTAGGTCCATTGGGCCTAAGGTAAGTCCTTATGGCGTAGTTTTGGGAACTGCATACGGTGTACGGGTGGATGACATTCATGCGATTTAAATTAACTACATAGTCATTTTTATAATATTCTACTTGATCATAATTTTGGTATTATAGGGTATTGCTAAATATGATTTCTACATGATATTGTATGAGTAGAAGTCTGGAGAACAGATGTTCAGCTCTGATCAAGCTGGTAATTTCTTACGGGGTGACCCTTTGGTAGGCCCATAGGCCCCAAGGTACTCCCTTAGGGTGGCTCATTTGCTTTGTGATTAGGGTAAGCCCTTATTGATGCAGTTATAGGGGATTGCATATGGAGTATTCGGATAGAGGATATTACAGTAATTTTAAAAGTTTGTTTTATTGAAATAAAATATTACTATTTTTAATATATGCTTTTATTTATTCTGGTTTCATAGGAACACATTAGACATCCTTTTTCGATCTCTTGAACCTGATTTTCTGAACTTTTCCTTTGAAATGTAAGCTTCATGTCTTTTACTTGAAGAAATATCAGTGGAACCTCAGCTCATCCAAAAAACCTATAGAAGCCTGAATCAATAAGGAAACTTTTATGCTTGCATATTATCTGCATGTCCTTCAGCATCACTTGGTAGTTCTGCATTACTGAGCTTCCAAAAACTCACTCTTTTACTCATCCTTTCAGGTTAAAAGAATTGATTTTGTGCAGCTATCGATATCTATAATGAGAGTTCATTTGGCTTGGGTGGAAAAGTACAATACAAGTGTAATTATGGAGCATGTAGGTCACATTTGATTTTTATACTGAGTCTGAAACTTGTATGATTTTAATTATGTTTTTAATATATGAATGATTTTCTGAACTTGTATCTTATCTATAATTTATTTTACAGTTTTAAATGGATTAACAAATTTTTTAAATTTTTTCATAGGTTTTACTATAGGTCACTCCGGTATTCCCAATGTGACACCTAATATCAGATAAGGTCACCCGCATCGGTCTGGGGTGTTACACACTCAATCTCAACACCTTAATATCTCCAAAGCCCCATTTGTGCAATCTTTCCCTTATGCTGTTAACGCTACACACAGTAGACATCTTAACCACCAAGCACCTCTTCAGCTTCTGAAGATCCTCTTCTATCACATGGCCCTTGATCCTTTTTTCCGCACCTGACCTTTGGAATTCTATTTCAAAACCAGACATTTTGTACGCCAATTGATTGGATTCCTCTTTCCTTTCCCATTACTTGCTTTCCTTTTCCCTCAAGCAATCGTCTATCCATTTGTGGCTGAATCCTTCCTTTCCTTCGCCGGTATTCTGATCTTGCACCATATTTCGCTTTTTGCACATTCAGTTTAAAACCATTCAAACTGAATCCATTTAATCTTCCGATTGCTCTTCCCGCATCCACCCTGTTTAAGAATCTTACAAACCCAAATCTCTTCCCAGATCTATCCATCTTCCGTGCGATGAACGAGTCAACGACATCTCCATGTCTCCCAAAGAGTTGTCTCAGCCCTTTCCAGTGAAACGTTGTTGGAATATTCTGAGCAAAGATTGTCACCGGTTTCCCTCTGCCGAACGTCACCGTATCGTACCTTTTTTTGTATTTACCAATTATATAACATGGTATTTCTTTAAAAATGATTGAGTGAGGCTGACTACAATTTTGTTATCAAACTAAAAGAGGAGGATCGTCGACGGTTAACATAACTCGTTTGTTTTTATCAACAATTTTAATATATTATTGATACCTTTTAATTAATTACGGTTAATTGAACTTTACTGCTTGAATTAGACAAGATTATGAACCACATGAAACAATTCCTTAATCTCTGCGCCTAATGTGCCTACCCCTGACAATAACAATCTCACAATGTTTCTTAAACAAAAATGCTTAAACTTAATCTTCGTCTCAAGCACTGTCCTAATTAATAATTAATTATTACATGTGCCTCCTTAAAATCTTCAATTAATATACCCTTTTCATCACCTTAGCTGTTTTTTTTTGGTACAATTTTCTTCTAAGTTGATTTTCTTCATTTAATTACTGAAATAAATCCATGTAAGTTATACACATCACATAAGTTTGTTCATATAATATGTATGCTTTGTTTTCAAAAAGAAATAATAAATAAATTCGAATAAATACATGTAATGGATTTAATAATCATCTCGAGTTCAAATAACGTATATGCTTATGAGATAATGTTTAAAACATGTTGAATATCTGTCCAAGTAACGTTAATGACATGATGAAGTGATTTATTTTCTAATGAAGTTGTTATGAAAGAGGAGGTTAGAGATCAAAATATGTAACAGGAAGGCAGGAAAAAAATAACACGATGAGAAGAGAAGAAAGGTTCATGAGATTGTGGTACATACATTGAACCATAAACAACACCATATTATTATTACTATTATATTTTTTACCAAGCAATCCCAAGAATAATATGTTAAAATTTTAATCCGAATATTAATATTTTAAATATAAATACGATAAAAATATATAAATTATAAGATCGAACGAGTACAAAGAGAGAATATTCGATTTACAAAGAAAATGAAGAAAGATGGGAAAAGCCCTAATTTGTTGCATGAAAACATGGGGAAACCAACCAATTGCCAGCCTCCACCGCGTATTTTTATTTGTATTTCGTTTGTCAGCTTTTGAAAGTGAACGCCGCTTTCACCAACTTGGCTGGTCACTGTTCACCACCTTCACTTGCTTTATTATTTTTTAGGTGTAAAGTACACAAATGATGATCGATTATATAATATTATTTTATTATGTTCATGATTATTAAAAGTTATAAAATATTATTTTGTTGAGTTTCTTAATTATTAAAAGATACAAAATAATCATCTGATCATTTATGTGTTCAAAATTTATTTTTTTGTTAAAAAAATTAGCGATCGTCTAAGTTGGATGTTAAATTATTAACTAAAATACGATAAAATTTGATCCCAAAATCGTTTGAGTCTTAGGTACAACTACCAATTTTTAACTAAAAAAGGATGGGCTTGGAACATATAAATAGTTGAGTAACTATTTTATAATTTTTAATAGTTGGTGACTCAACAAAGCATTGACATATAATTAGATGACCATTTTATAACTTTTAATAATTGAAAGACTTAACAAAGTAGCATCTTATAGTCGAGAGACCATTTGCATACTTTACTCTGTTTTAAAAAATCTTTGATTGATTTTTTTTTATGTTTTTAATTAATTTAATTTTGGTTTAATGAGTTAAACGATTAATTTTAATTTTGGTTTTTTATGTATATATGTTAATTGAATAAAAATATGACATTACTCTTATGGAAAAAATTATTTTTACTATGGGTAATTATTTGAAATACCGGTGTTGAATTATTTTTTGTTTATTTATTTTGCAAATGGTTTATTCCATTATGATGTATCATTAATAAACATTTTTTGTAAGTGGATTTTTTATTTTGACAAAAATATAATAGACACAATGTATTTCTATAAATTATTTATAGATTCATGTGTAAGTTGATTTCGACAAACTCATAGCTCAATATTTCACTCGGTTTCATCAAATATTCATAGATGTGATGTCTAATAGGTTCAATATTAATCCACAAAGTTATTATAATTAGACAGAATTCAACTCTGTATCATCCATCCCTCTTAACAAATTTGGAATGATTCTCATTAACAGTAAAAATAATATATAATATACAAATTTAAATATTTATAATAAATAATATAAAGAAATATTTGAAAATAATGATCGGAGTCTGAGTCTATCAGTGGCGGATGCACTTGGCTCCATGAGGTCCAAGTTTATACTTTTTTTTTGATAAATTATTAAATATAATTCAATATATTAAGGGAATGAGAAAAAAATAAGTCTTTTTGCATACTTATTTTGTTAAAAAAAATATTGAAATTTTTGAACCCGTTTTTTTAATTAATTATTGGTATCCGATCTATTGACCGACTAATCTAGATCTGGTGCTGCAGAGGCGAGGGCGATCCTCCCAACCTAGTTTGCTCCATTCACTAACGTCAGGATTCGAAGCTGTGACCTTGTTTAAGGGATCTAATGTCTCATCCCACTAGATCAACTGATGTTGATTGAACCCCACTTTTTTAATTTCTAGATCTACCTCAATTCCTGAGTGAATTCACGAGATAATGTTCTCGATTTTTTTTTTCACGATATGGTGCACATCCCAGATTAATTGCTGGAATGGGGGTGAATTATACAGTGGTCTTGGAGGTCGCCATGGCATCCGGGCGACCTTGGAGGTCGCCATGGCATCCGGGCGACCTTGAAGGTCGCCATGGCATCCGGGCGACCTGTGTGTATTACAAAGGAATAGGTCGCCATGCAATCAACATGGGACGTGGGAATGCATGGGGGGGGGATGCATGGGGTGGGAATGCATGGGGGAGGGATCAACATGGGATGTGGGAATGCATGGGGGAGGGGATGCATGGGACGTGGGAATGCATGGGGGAGGGGATGGTGCATTGGACGTGGGAACTGTGCATGGATATGCACGGCGAACGATGTAGGTGACGGTGGTAGGTAGGTCGCCATGGAGTCTCGGCGACCAAGGTCCTGTAGCTGCATGCATGCGTTGCATCATAGCTCATAGCTCAGAGATTCCTGCACCCGTAGCTCTGTGTTGCATCTATAATTACGTTATTGCAGCGTTAATTTAGCTGTGAGCCTTTCAATGCTCAATAGTTAACGCTCAGTTGCTTTATATAAAGGATATGGGGTATAGGGTAGAAGCACAAGCAGAACCAGCACATATAAATTTTGCCGAGAGAAATAAAAGGAAG